CGAGAAGACTCTTAAATTAAAAATTAAATTACTAAATATCCTTCTTATTAACTTAAATATCCTAATTATTAAAAATAAATAAATAAATAAAACTATCAAATTTGTTTGAAGTGGTGTTATTTTAGTTTTATTTGAAGGGGTGTCTTTCAGATTAGTTACTATATTAAAGTTAGTGTCACTGCTTACTTCTCTTCGCAGTCAAGCCTTTCAATATTACTATGATATGAACAATCAAAGGTACAAATCGTGCAACTTTCTTATCTATGTTAATTAAGTTCCTTTTGTTTTTGTGTTTGTGATAAGTTCAGAAATATTATTTCAAGATAAAGTCCGAAATTCATGCTTTCTTGGAATTCCATAATTTGTGGTTCCATTTGATTAATAAGACTACTCATCATAATGTAATGAAGATGAGGTATATAGATAAAAGTTTCTTGTGCCAAACTACTTTTTCATATTAATAAACTAGATACTATGTTCTACAATTTTGTCTATGATGATGGAACCGTACAATTATGTCTTGCATTTATGAGAAGTACGAAGCATTTACCATTTATTACATGGAAGGAAATCAATGACTTTATCCGAAAGATTTGTGGCTATTTATCGCACTCATCGCTAAGTAACGTATTTTCGCAATATATATTGTACATTTTTTTTTTCATTTAGTATGATAGAATATCAAATATGTTTACTAATTTTGGCTTCTTAATTTCTTGAAAAAGTAGTAGCATGTTTACAGTTTATGTAAGATTCAAAATGTATTAATTTTTTAAATAATTACATACGGAAAAATTACAATCAATCAGTAGAGTTGCGTCAATGTTCCTTGATAATGTAGAGAAATAATTGAAGAAATATTTGCTAAGGTGCATGTGAAAAATTAAATTTTAACTTTTTGGAGAGAGTATTATATCATTCACATCAAACAATAAAAAAAATCTATTGAATAATTTATCGAATAAAAATCATTTACATGCTTATAAGGGAATAAGTACTGCACATCTTGTGGCATAAGAGCCATAGGAAGGACTAAGGAGAAAGACAATAAATTAATTTGAGGAGCGAATAGATATTGTCTTACAGAAGACAGAACTAACGTAAATAGGTGTGTGCTTTCACAATTTTTTTTTTTTTTTTTTTTTTTTTTTTTTTTTTTTTTTTTTTTTTTTTTTTTTTTTTTTTTTTTTTTTTTTTTTTTTTTTTTTTTTTTTTTTTTTTTTTTTTTTTTTTTTTTTTTTTTTTTTTTTTTTTTTTTTTTTTTTTTTTTTTTTTTTTTTTTTTTTTTTTTTTTTTTTTTTTTTTTTTTTTTTTTTTTTTTTTTTTTTTTTTTTTTTTTTTTTTTTTTTTTTTTTTTTTTTTTTTTTTTTTTTTTTTTTTTTTTTTTTTTTTTTTTTTTTTTTTTTTTTTTTTTTTTTTTTTTTTTTTTTTTTTTTTTTTTTTTTTTTTTTTTTTTTTTTTTTTTTTTTTTTTTTTTTTTTTTTTTTTTTTTTTTTTTTTTTTTTTTTTTTTTTTTTTTTTTTTTTTTTTTTTTTTTTTTTTTTTTTTTTTTTTTTTTTTTTTTTTTTTTTTTTTTTTTTTTTTTTTTTTTTTTTTTTTTTTTTTTTTTTTTTTTTTTTTTTTTTTTTTTTTTTTTTTTTTTTTTTTTTTTTTTTTTTTTTTTTTTTTTTTTTTTTTTTTTTTTTTTTTTTTTTTTTTTTTTTTTTTTTTTTTTTTTTTTTTTTTTTTTTTTTTTTTTTTTTTTTTTTTTTTTTTTTTTTTTTTTTTTTTTTTTTTTTTTTTTTTTTTTTTTTTTTTTTTTTTTTTTTTTTTTTTTTTTTTTTTTTTTTTTTTTTTTTTTTTTTTTTTTTTTTTTTTTTTTTTTTTTTTTTTTTTTTTTTTTTTTTTTTTTTTTTTTTTTTTTTTTTTTTTTTTTTTTTTTTTTTTTTTTTTTTTTTTTTTTTTTTTTTTTTTTTTTTTTTTTTTTTTTTTTTTTTTTTTTTTTTTTTTTTTTTTTTTTTTTTTTTTTTTTTTTTTTTTTTTTTTTTTTTTTTTTTTTTTTTTTTTTTTTTTTTTTTTTTTTTTTTTTTTTTTTTTGTATTTGAGTTCGAATATTTATTACTGTATAAATTATAGATTTTTAGACAATAAAGTTCGAAGCCTATTTCATATTTAGAGGAATGATTTAACTCTATTAATTCATGCACCTTTCACCTTTCAAAAGATGAATGGGTACTCCTAACTGTAAATTTTTTTGGTATGTGCGACATATCTTAGTATTTCCAACACATATTTTCCAGTAGATATATATTACGAGAACAATAATCATCTTGACGAAATCCAATCATCTTGATCTCAACAATCGACAATTCAAGTTTATCATTCATTTAATCTGTACTTATTCTTCATCCATAATTATTTACTCAAAATTTCTGTTTCAACAATATATTGGTTTTATTTTACAAATCGCGTACTATATGACTGGGCATACACGTGCAACGCACGTGAAGAGAAACTAGTATATATATATATATATAAACATTCTTAATTTTGATATTACTGTTAATTAAAAGGTGCAAAGCAAAACTATGTCTATGTTAAGGATGTCATTCAAGGCTGTGAGTTGATATTTTTTTATTTATATATTAGTACTCCCTCCGTTCCAATTTATGTGAACATGTTTGACTGGGCATGGAGTTTAAGAAAAAATAAAGACTTTTTAAATTTGTGGTCCTAAGCAAGTCAAAAAGGGGTTCAGAGAAATGGAAGTTTAAGCAAAATTATTTCCAAATTTAGAAAGTGGTCATTCTTTTTTAGAACGGACCAAAAAGAAAATAGGTTTACATAAACTGGAACGGAGGGAGTACTATTTTGGTTGATAAATTTTGGATTTGTTATATATGACACATTGAACCATTCAAGGAACTACAAATTAAAGACATTTTGTATGAAGCAAGTGAACTACAAATAACAGAATAATCGCCCAGACCCAAGTCAGAATTAGTTATATTACCTAAAACATTTTATTTAGTCTACCTACAGTAACTTCAAATTAGCTTATAATAGAAATATGCCAGTATTGTAGGTATGAAAACTCAATCATTTAATTCCTAGCTCGAGCTTATTCCAATAATCAAATAAAATAAGGAAAGTAATGGAAATTTTTTCTATATAATATGGGCATTTTTCAGATCAACTTGCGCATAGTCGCATACCTTTGACTATTTCACACATACCAGCACATGTATACTAAGTAGTAGATGTATAAGAGGAAATCATTTAACAATTATTGTCTCCGCTGAAATTAAACCTTGTTTCCCATGATTATGACCCAAAAACATTTTTTTACTTGAGAGTTGTATTGATCTTTTGCTAACGAATTAATTAATAGTAAATGTTTTGCCAACAGAGGATAAGGCTGGAGCAGGTGGAGAAATTCATGATTATTGTATTCCTAGTAATATAGTACTCCATTCCTTTCACTTTATGTGATAATTTTTCTTTTTAGTCTGATTGAAAAAGAATGATAATTTTTTAAAATTTGATAACAACTCAACTTTAAATTTCTCATTTTATCCTTAATGAGATGATTTATAGCCACACAAATATCTATGACTTTTTTTCGCTCATAA